TTTTTATCAACTGTTCATCAGAAAGGAGATGACACTTTGCAAGTACATTTTGATAAGTGCCAGGGAAGAGTCGGAGAAAAACGATTCAAGATATTCAGTGTCCTGAATAAGATCGAATTTGATTGACAGGAGGGTGATATCATATCGCTGGATGCATCTGCATGATCAAAACTTTATAAATTCAGCGGTCAGAGACATTTCCATCGCCAATTCCATTGTGATATTTGAGTGGCTGCTGGGCCATTCATACTTTTAATCTTTCACATAAATCCATTCGAAAACAACTCCTCAGGATACTTAGTTGTGGCATACATTTCAACAATTTAGGATATATGCCATCAATTTGGATCAAATAATTCAGCTGCGATTAGCTTGATTTGTTTGATCATTCCGGGCATTCCGGGATCTGAGCAGTCGACCGATTCGGCTGGTTTAAGCATGTTGTTGATACGTTGTATGTAAATCAGCTCCAATCCAGCAGCTGGTTTACATGCAACGCATCAACAACAGCAGTTCACCGAGTGTCCATCTTGAACTTTTCAGTGCTAAAATTATGATGACCGATATTCTGCTCTGCAGGCGGGGAGTTTGCATGCTTCCAGTGAAATTTGATGCACTGATTTGTTCTCCCAAAAAATTCGCTTTGTTAACTGTAGCCATCATCGTATTCATGCTGATCAAGTTCACTTTCTTTCTGGATGTAATCTCCGACCAAAATATTAATAAAGTGGCCGTACAGAGCCATTATGTGATATTTTCTGCATATACATATCATTCGGCGAAGAGGTTTGTCAAACTTCGTTGTAATCCAATGTCTTTATAACAAAGATCCTGCAGAAGATCGCCTAGTGTTTTCTCAAACTATCCAATGTGAACATAATTCGATTTTGTTTGAGTTCAGCATTCGGATTCCTGGATTAAACTATGTGACCATATTCAAATTGTTGGCTGATAAGATGCATTGATAAAATCTTGTAGAGTGAACAAAGCACTGGTTACGATCACATACAGCTCAAACACATACGATTTTCCGTTCAAATGTATGGCTAAGAATCAATCGGGATGGTTTGGAGTACAAAGAGCGAGGAACTACCATGCTGACGAAAGGTTTTCCTACTGCAAAATGTTGGCTTTTGTTGCTCATTGCTATTTACCGGCTGCAGAAACATATTTCTTGATCAAAGATGGGACCAAAATTGAGGTGAGGACGCTACTCGTTGCAGCGANTGCTCTATGATACATTCTCACGAGTTCAGTCAAATTACCGAAATATTTCTCCGGATAATTCAAACTTCTCTCGGCGTTTCTGTTCCAGCAAACTTCTGTGAAATTTAGTTACCGGTGACAAAAGCGTATGAAAAAAGAGAGCCGTTAGTGGTTTGTACATCGCCGTCGTATTTGTATGAGCTTTGGATGACTGCATTGGTGAGCATCGAGACAACACGTTACTTTGGTGCTACGTTACGAGTCGTTTATATTCAGAGTATCATCGCTGAATTGTACACAATCTTGAAAGCGTACGAGAAAGAGGGAATTGTCCTCATCAAACATGGATTCGACCTGCCCAGATTGGTCTGTGATGAAATTCAATTACTTCGGTACAAGCATTTATTTGAATTTGCTGGATATTTTTGCAGTGAAATGAAATATGCATGACAGTATGATTGGTTGCCGAATTGATCATAAATTTTTCCAAATTTTGGCAATCGAAAATATCGATTGAGTGATCGTGTTCATCAGATGCTTTCTCAGACACAGTATTTTCGCTTTCTTCAGGAGGATCATCCGGAAAGTGACCAAGGACATCACCATAATCAAGTGATTGCTATAAACGATTGTCTGAATCAGTTTAAAGATGCGGCTGATTTTATTTTCGTTGGGGATTTTGATGATATGTTTATAACATCGTTTAAATCACGTTTTGGAGTTGGATCGTTAGGTGAAGAAACCTTTTTTGATCTTCTTCACTTTGCTCAGTTCGTAATCGGGCATTCTGGTTTCAAACAACGCAGTTTTTCCCTAGTTCGGAAATCTCTTGAAACCGTTTAATATCCTTTCGTACCCTAATCTCCTCGAACAATTTCCGGGGTTCTCCTCTGTTCAGTAACCCTTGCTTCTCAAGCACCACAATTTGCTTCTTAACGTGCTATCTATCCATTCCATTTCTGATGAATTTTTATATGAATGAATTTTCACGTTTTCGCCCATCTGCAAATAATTCCCTCCTCCAAATTATGTCATTAGAATTTTATACGAATCATAACAGCGATGCTTTTATGATACTTATGAAATTCATCTATGATTCTGATGGCTCAATGCGCAGAAGGGAATTCTTTGCAGAGTGGTGACGACGAGAAAATTCTGCGACGGAAGGATGCCCAAATCACGTTTTATATCCCTGTAAAAAAGAAGGGGTACCGTTTAAAAAGCAGGGATTTATGCATCATTGGAAGACGACTCCATTGATGTTGTTCGAAGATCGCTTGCAAACAGCGATTGTTCGACCGAAATTGGATGGCAAAGATAATAGGATTGATGGGAGATTGCTGCTGAAGTTACAGTTGGTTGGCGATATCCTAAGTGTGATCACAAACAAATGATTATGATTACGAATTTTGGTCAAGTTTTCCGAGATGTCTCCGAACACTTCAGAATGCCTCCGAACGATATTGTGAAAGCCCATCGCAAGCTCTCATGGACAATGAAAAAAAATGAATATTTTATTAATAATTTCCCGAAATTTCACTTGAAGTGCCAGCATTCGACAAGCACTACAGTATGGTTGACGTTCTCAAGAAGGAAGCACAGCACAACCCCAATACCGGAGTTTTCATATTTGAGTGGATTGGAGGCGATCAAAATTTAACAAGAGGTCAACTCTTCAATTTGTTCGAAATTGTTCGTTGCGAACTGATTGACGAAGTTGTTTTTGTCTATCAGATGTCATGCACTCCTACTGAATCGCTTAAATGCCGTCTGCAGTCTCATGTCTCATATTTATTCATAAATTGTATAGTTATATTATCAATGAATGGGTTAGATTCTATAAATTTCTCCAGATGATTCCCATCCATAAATTCTCTATTCACGAGATCTAGTTCCTGTGAATCTTGCACAGAGATTGATTTTTTTTCGTATTTAAAATCGGTTGGGTGCAGTAGTGTATTGTGGAGAATGGAGAATTTCAAAGACCTTTGCCACACTGCTCCGCTCCAATTGCTGCGTTGCATTGGTTTTTAACGGCATTTTGAAGGTGCCCGGCTGTAAATTTCTTTCCCGACTCTTCCCGTCCACTTCTTTTCATTCCTGCTGCCAATACACCGCTGTGCAAGATGAATAAAATTCACATGAGTGTAATAATTAAACGAAATTCTTCAGAAGATGATAATTTCACGATTTATTCGACAATCAAACGCCAGAGCACTCGGCCGTCGAAATGGATCTCCGTAGGTTTGTTGATGAGCAGATTTGATATCTTGCTGCCTCGGTCTCTGTTGGGTGCGATGACATCTTGCAAGGTGCAAAATTTCCACATCGATGAGGCATTCTTCAATCAGTTTAACTAAGCATCACATTCGAACCAGCTGTGGGCTGTCACGCTTCAGGAATTCTTGACGTGGTTCTATCCCTCAATTCTAACCGAAAAATTCTGTCTGCAGGGAAGTATGCGATGATTCCTAGACGAATTAAGAGTGCATGGGTGCATTGGGCGATGATAATCGAGGACAGTTATGGTACTATGAAATATGACGAAACTGTTGGCACAATCGTGTTTCACCTCAACAAACCTGTTTGGAGTCGGCCAACGGTACTGATGAAATGATAAAATCGCTGCAGTTGCGATGATAAATTGCAATTGTTGAACTTACGAAGGTTTTGAAAAAAGGATTTGCCAACATGATTGATCACCATGCATGCGCATCAATTAGAATCTGAAATACCGGAACTTTTGTACTAAATATCTGGACTGTTGACATTCATTACATTGCGCAGTCCTAACCTACTAAAGATGAATACACAAACCGAAAATAATCTTACGAACTGTTATTGGACTAGCAGAAACATCGTCGTGTCTTAAAATGTATTGAACCTCTTAACCATGGCTGATTCACTGAAGTTCCTCCCGAAACTACTCCTCTCAACACAAACACACTGTACAGTTGCGAAAAGAGTTAATAATTCTCATTGGACTTGATAAAAAACTTGATATTGAACAGAAAACAAATTATGCAGAACCTGGAGTAATTTTTAATTAAGCGAAAATTTCAGTTGAACGAAGATGGCGAGGGTGCGAAATTTGAGCTCGANCAACAGCATCCTATTCACTTTGATTACTATTCGAAATGCTTCGATTATGGGAATCATCAGTTGGTAAATGAGGAGAAATTTTTCTGTCCGAGTTATGCAAAATGCGACTTCCGTCAACAAAATGAGACCAGATATATAATTTCGAATGCTCATTTTGATCGTTATGATTATCGGTCTTGGATTGGATCAAAGAAAAGCATTTTCATCTATCGAGGTGGCGTTCTCACGGATTCTCGTGACGGGCAACGTGAAATGTTCAAGCAAACGTTCACTTACTACTAACCAACATTCAATAACGCAAGATGCACCACAGTCCGATTTCATGTGTTCAGCTGCCACTCTCTCGTAATGTTCGTTTGAATGGTGTTCTTCAGACGGAATGGCAATGTCTTGATGAAATGATACATTAATATCATTATTCATGCTTGTGTTGTAAACGGTAAATTTTGAATAGAATTATTGCTAACGTTGATGTTGTTATTCGTATTGTTATTATCGTCGGTATCTTTGCGTCTATTATTGCCATATTCATATCATTATGGTTAGAATTTAACCCGTCAAATCGAACAGTAGTATTAATTCGTATGTATTGTTA